CTTTTCTCTAATGGGAGATGTCAGGACAGAGAAGACTGATTAGGTGAGGTGTGGAAGTACAGTTTGAGTAGTTTGGGTGAGTGAATGGTAGGGTTGAGGATAGAAAGGACTATACTGAAGAGGAGGCAGCAGTGGATGACCACAGTGACAAATAATGCAACAAAAACTATTAAATGCTTGCATATATAAGTGTATAAAAAATATATACATGCATACTTGTATATATGAGTAAATACTTGCATATTTAATATATTTGCAGCAAAATGTAGAAATGGCACCGCCGTCACTCTATTAATGCATACATGCCTCTGATGTCCATCCCTTCCTACATTCTTCACTGCTGTTTCCTTGTCCCCCTGAATGCATGCCTGAATTAGGCAACTTGGTTCTTTCACAGATATCTGCTGGTTTTTGAGTCATTCCACCACATTAGATGATGCTAATCACTTGTTCAATGCTTAATTGTGCTAGACTGTGTAATTTTTGAATAGTCAAATAGTCGTTAGTTTTTTAAATCAGAAACTAAAGACAAATTATTAATAGTTTATTTTTTAATATCTAGCCAGTATAAAACTGGTAAGACGATCCCTTTTTTCAAAGCAGACACAGGTTCAGCTAAAATTATCACATAAATCACCTATTAAAGTCCAACTCTAAGTCTTTAGGATTCTCTCTGCATCAGATCTCTAGTATATGGTCTTCTCTATCCATCCACACAACTACTTTGTGTTTTCATCTTTCATCCTAACTCTCAGAACATTATTTTCTTTAGTCTTGGTAAGTGTCTTTTATTAACTGCAAGCTTTTACAACCTATTCCTTTCCCACGTGTCATCATCTATCTTTTGTACCAAGTAGTTGGGTATTGTCTCTCATCAGCTGAATACATCCATATTTTATAGTAACTTGTTGAATTTTCAGAAAAGCATCTTATTTTCTTTCACTGACCTCTTATTTGCTTTCATTGTTTCCTGCACGTTTATCCCAGGTCTCCTAAATAGCTATAGAAGTGTATCATCTTTCTTCTTCAAACCCTCCCTAATGATTATCTCCTGTTGTGATGGAATTTGATAATAATAAGTTTCCTGGTGTACTGAGATCACTGTCTATTGTACTACCCAAAATGGTTCTCCTCCATCTGTGTGTGTCTGTTATCTCCTGTCTTATATTTAGAAGTTTGTGCATCTGTATTTTGTTTATACACAATATATATTGAACCTAACTCAACAAGATTCTAGTTTGTGTATAAGCCTAGTAATAATCATAATATATGCATGTTGATCCTCTGTACACTTGGCTCTCTAGAGTCTCTAGATGCAGCCTAGCAGCCAAGAATAGATAGAGTGCCGCAGCAGTCCTAATGAGCCCCATGCAAGGAAAGAAATTTCATCCTGGTTCTGAATTCTGCAAAGACTTCCCCCACATCAGAGCTGTCCTGATGGCTGTGCATGTGCACGCTGGCTTTACAAATCTTTACACAACCTTGAAGTGCAGGAATTTGTTTAATGTGAAACAAAGATGCATGGAGCAGCTGCGTGACTGTGATAGGTAGCTGAGCTGTCAGAGATGAATCTGTGTGTCTCTGCTACCTCACATGGCTTACGCTGCTTTTTCTGTGGACACTTGGCACAGTTGTTCTGCACATCAGTAGCTCCATGTGATTAAATTTTTAAGATGGCAGTGCAGTGATGGGTTTAGTGCATCGGTCGGGACAGTGAGGGCCAGCTGCTCTGCAAGGGAAAGTGAGCCATGGGTAGAACACGATACCAAGGCAGATGGGAGCAGAGACCTCACCAAGAAGAAGCAGGATGTGGAGCAGCATGCTTGGTTCATAATCAGGGCCAGAGACGGTGATCAGGGTCAGACATAGTCCGGCGATCGCTCAGCAAGTCCATAGTGATGAGGCAGGTCCGTGACCAAGCCAGGAATCCCAGCCAGCAGGTCCAAGTCAGGATCAGAGTCAGGATCAGAGCCAGGATCGAGGAGGTAGGAGACCAGGTGTAGATGTAGCTGCTGCTGCCCAGCTGTGATGTAGCACAGGCGGTGTCCAGCAGTACAGCCCCAGCTTAAAAGCACTTCCCAAGGGAAGGGGGAGGGAGGCTCTCGCTTCTAGCTGTCTTCACAACAGGTCTTATCAGCTGAGCAGCTGACCTTGGACTCAGCCAGCCAAACTCTAACATAGCCAGTGGTGCTCCTAGGAAGGGGGCTGCGCTCTGGGCCTTGGCAGCTAACATACCTGGAACACTACCAGCCCTCATGAGTTTTTTGCAAGTTGCAAGATTTCAGTAAAGGCTAGAGACGATCTTAAAAAAGGCACCAGCTATGAATGTCAGGCACATGGGTAAACCTCTACTAACTTCTACATTTGCCTAACACCTGGGGTTGAGCAGCTGCTTAGGATGATCATAGGAGATTGTTTGAATTTTCTGCCTTTTTTTTCAGAAGATGACACTTTTCACAGAAGAGGGGAGACTAGAAATTGCCTCTACACTTTGGCCTCTAATGTTTTGTCTTTTGCCATAGGTGGCAAATGTGTCCCCCTCTAAGGTCACTCACCCTCCCTAACATTAGGATTTAGGAGGAAAGACTGCTGAAGCTACCCATGTGGATTGTAGACTTCAGAGCAACAGGAGAAGCACAAATTGTTGTCCTGACACAATTGTTCTTGGTTTGAACTGACATGGGCAGGAGAAACACTGGTAAGATTGTATAGAAATTACAATTAATTTTTAAATAAAAAGCACTCTCATTATCATCAAGCAAAGGCTTCCTTCCCTAATGGGCTGTTTTACTTTGATGCCTATAAAAATTGACCGTAACTAAGCTGCTAGTACGCAAGGTCTCTTCTCGGCATGTTGATCATTCCTATCATCTCTTCATTCTCTATCATCTTTTCTCTCACAGGTATGTGTTAACACTTGCAGTGTTACCTTTTGTTCTCTGTGTATCATTCAGGGCAATAGTGCCTGTGAGTGGGACTTCTGTGTGCTATGGCAACATAATTTATGTTAATTGTCTATCATAAGAGATGATAATAGGGAGATCAAAATTAAATTACAAAATCAAAATGCACACGTACAGTATCATGACTTTGCTATCTGTCTCATAATTATTGATGCATGAACTTCATATTTGTGAGTTGTAATCTTATTTGCTATTTGTTGCCAAATATTACTGATATTTTTTTAATCTAGCTGTAAGTATTAATTAATGTGAGTTGTAAAATTTGTACATATAGTCAGTTTACAGTTATCTGCAGGCAGATTGTTCATGTCACAGATTAATTGCACCACAGATGCAGGCACAGCTTGGGTTTGCCAGGTTTTATGATCTCTAGCTCAGCACTGGATCTGCCAGACCTGTGCTCGCTGCACAAGGAATCGCTTAGATGTCTTTGCTACGTGCTTGACAGTGCTGCTCCCTGTTACTTGATTTATTTGCTCGTGTTGCACTGGAGTCACACTAAGCTAGTTTACCGATTTGCTGCATGCTCTGCCCCTGAGCTAAGCAGCCCTTACCACAGATAGTAGTGCAGGCGCTATGGCCCATGATTTCATAGAATGGCAGTTTTGGTCACATTTTGATGTAAGGACTGCCAGGTTTAAAGACCCTTCAAAACCAGATTGATGTTTTAATGTGTGTTGCCAAATGACAGCCTGTGTGCTCAAGAGTGATTGGGCAAGGCTGCTGCTAGGGAACTGGTGAACTTTCCTGAGGACAGCATGGGTGCCTGCCTAGTTCAAGCAGAGCAGGCCAAACCAGCCCAGCTCTATGGCACAAGGCTGTTCCCATGTCCCTGATCCGTGTCCTCAGAGCAAGACGCTCCTCAAGAGGCTGCAGAGCCACCTCATGCACTTCACATAGCACAGGCTTGTGTGCAACACCCTGTCAGCAGGGGCTTGGTTATTTTTTGTCTCATTGCTACGGAAAGCTAACTGTGGGTCCTGCACTTGGTTCACAACAACCCCACGCAACGCTACAGGCGTGGGGAAGAATGGCTGGAAAGCTGCCTGGTGGAAAAGGACCTGGGGGTGTTGGTTGACAGCCGGACGAATGTGAGCCGGCAGTGTGTCCAGGTGGCCAAGAATGCCAACAGCATCCTGGCTTGTGTCAGGAAGTGTGGCCAGCAGGACCGGGGAAGTGATCATCCCCCTGCACTTGGCACTGGTGAGGCTGCACCTCGATTGCTGTGCTTGGTTTCGGGCCCCTCACTACAAGAAAGACATCGAGGTGCTGGAGCGTGTCTAAAGAAGAGCAATGAAGCTGGTGAAAGGTCTGGTCTGGAGCACAATTCTTATGAGGAGTGGCTGAGGGAACTGGGGTTGTTTAGCCTGAAGAAAAAGAGGCTGAGGGGAGACCTTATCGTGCTCTGTAACTACCTGAAAGAGGTTGTAGGAAAGTGGGTGTCAGTCTCTTTTCCCAAGTAACAAGTGATAGAATGAGAGGAAACGGCCTCAAGTTGCACCAAGGGAGGTTTAGATTGGATATCAGGAAAAACTTCTTCACAGAAAGGGTTGTGGAGCATTGGAACAGGCTGCCCAGGGAAGTGGTTGAGTCACCACCCCTGGAGGTATTTAAAAGGCGTGTAGATGTGGCACTTAGGGACAGGGTTTAGTGGGGGACTTGGCAGCGTTTACAGTTGGACTCGATATTCTTAAAGGTGTTTTCCAACCTTAACGATTCATACGGTTCTCTGATTCATATGGCTTTAGCTGAGAGCGTGTGCCGTTTTCTAAACATGAAATGCATTTTCATTTGAAATACATGGGGAAAGCCCTTTCTTTTTCACTCCTTGCTCGTCGAGACTTGCGGCGGGGTACAGGGGCAAACGCTCCCGAGGCGCCTGCCAGGGGCTCGCCCCGGGAGGAGCGGGGGAAGGCAGCGGGTCCCCTCCGCCGGGGAGGCCGCGGTCGCTGCCCGGGCCCGCTGCCGCGCTCATGGCCCGGCGCGGCCGTGCGGGGGAGCTGCTGAGGGCGCGGGCGCCGCCATTTCTCTCTCGCGGCCTCCGCCGGCGGCCTCTTTCCGGGAGTAGGCGGGGACCGGCGCGCGGGCCCGGCGCAGCCCGGCCATGCAGCCGGAGCGGGGCGGCGCTCGGCCCCGCAGGGAAGGCGGCCGGCACGGCCGGCGGCAGCCCCGCAGCGCGGAGAAGGCGGCCGAGGCGGCCGCTGAAGGGATCGGCGGGGACGGGTATGGCCGCGGAGGAGGCCGGGGCCGCGGAAGAGGCGGCGCCCACGGGCACCGAGGAGGCAAGGGCCGGGACAGGCGGGAGCCTCGAGGTCGCGGGGCGGCACCGCCGCCCGCAGCCCCCCGCCCCCGGCAGGTAAGAGGGAAGAGAGCCCGCCCTCCGCGGGCGCGGGGGGAGGCGGAGCCGAGCGCGGCGGGGCCCCGGGACGGCCGGCGGGGCGGGGGTACCACCCTTCCCTCTCCGCCCCTTCCCGAGGTGGAGCCGGGCGGCTGAGGCGGCGGGGGAGGGCGGTGGTGGGGCGGGGAGCGCGCCTTCCCTGCCCGCTCGGCTCGGCTCGGCTCGGCTCGGCTCGGCACGGCACCGCACCGGCGGCCGCCCACGGCCCAGCAGCCGCCAGCACCGGCGTGCTCTCGGGGAAACTCAGATAGGGGTCTTCCGGCCGAAGCGCGTTTGTAATTGTGTGCCGAAAAATACAAGTCTCCTTTGAAAAACGCGTCGGAAAATTACATCACTGTTTGCAAGTAGAGGTGAAGGATTGCTGAGTATTTTGTGCGCAGTTGAAATGAGCGTGTGGCTTGTCCAGTCTGTGGTACTAGCAACGAAGACGTTGTAACGTAGCTCGTGTTACAGAATTGGTACCTGTGATTCACTGGGACACGTATTTGTATTTGTCATTAATGCAAGTTGATGGTTCAGCTTTGACCAATCATAAAGTGTTGTGGCAGATTAAAAGTAGCACAAACATGCCTAAGTGTACCACAACTACACTTTCAGTTTCCTGTGAAGACACTAAAATACTTTCTACAACCCACCGTGGTATGAGATCAACACTGTGCCTTTAAAAACAATTTCCATTTATAAGTGCTTTGACAGTACTGCATTCAGATTGTTCCGTTTCCGTTAGCATTGTTGCAACATAGAAATCATGGTTATCCCTGGATTGGCAGAAAGATTACAATGACTACCTAATACTGATTGGTGTTGGCAGCACTGGGAGTCCTAACGGAGATAGAGCAGCTGCTGCCCCATTTTCAGCATCACATTGATTAGATTCACTTTGACTTTTATGATGCTATGGCTTCAATTGAACTCAGCTAGTGTTTTATCTGTATTAGACCTCCCATGGTTGCTGGTGGATTTAAGAAATGTAAAATAGTCATCCCTCTTGTCATTGTATTTGGATACATTTTAATACTTGTGTTTTGGGAGGTAAAAGATCAGCACCGGTCAGTAATTTCACCTGTAAGCTATACAAATTGCTGAGTTCATATCAGTGTAGGCATACAGGTTTGGATTTTGGATGTGAAACAATTGTGCTCTCTCATAAGCCACAGAGGCAGAGAGGCGGGGGTAAATTCAGCACCTGTATTAGGTGAGGAAACTTCCATCCTGGACCGATTTTTTTTTAAGTTATTCAACCATTTCTTATTAAGTTTAAATACATTTATATCTGTGTTCTTTCTGGTACTGTTGACCCAGCAGGACCCACTTCATAATTGAAAAGGTGCGCTGAGGAAGGGAATCACATTATATGTATGCATTTTTGTCTGGATTATCTGAAGTATTTCAGGAAACAGTTTAAAAATTTTTCTTGTGTGACAGCTTACAATATGTTTTGCCTGATTGCTGTGCTATTGACTGTGATATGATCTTCATTTTAGTCTAGCACAGTGACTTGATTTATTTCTGGCTAAGGCTAATATAGGTTGGGTCTTTAAAAATTAAGCAAGAGCTAAGATTTTCCCAGAACTCTGCTAAAGAGTGTTTAAGCGTAATGCTCTTCCTGCACTGAAGGCTTTTGATATTAAGCACTGTATTATCTCTTAGCACACCTGCCACAAATCTTTCATTTAGCAGCTTGGACAGGACTGGCTTCCAGCAATCCAGCCATAGCATCAACAGCTGTGCCAGCCTGCAGCTGCTCACCTCTTGTGTTACCTCTGAGCCAGTCTCAGAATTTACCACTTCTGAAAGAGGGAGGACCTTCTTCTTCCTCTTCTCTCTTCCACCTGTGTGGTTGGACAAGCTCCCTTGTACTGTCTTTGATGTGTGCTAGACCATGTTTTCTGAACAGATTCAGCTCTTACCTGGCAGGAAATTACCCCCTTTCATGCCCAGTTCTTTAGTGTTCTCTCTGTTCAGCAAAGTGACTACACAAATGCACCAACTCAATGAGAGGATGCTTGGCTCCAGCTAAGCTGCTTGTGTGAGATCCCACTGTCTTTCAGCAACAGGGATCAGATCTTCTCAAGCAGTGCAGTGTACATTTCAAACCTGGAGAGCCAGGTAATAATATGGGGAATGTGAGTGGTTTTATCACGTCGCTTTCCTTACTGTGTGCTGAGTAGCTGGAGTCTTCTCTGAAAGCCTCCTTTCTTTTTTTGAAATGGGCCTTGAAATTCCCTGGGGAAGGGAGGCTGAGGATGCTGTAATTTTGTAATATGTAGGATTTCCAAGGGAAATTCTAGTCCTTTTGCTTTTTAGGGTAAAAATTGTAGGGGATTACAATCTGCATTTCCACACTGCTGATGTCAATTTGGCATTTTGAAGGAATTTTCCTAATGGATTGGGATCATTCTAGCATTGTATAATCAGGATTTAGATGACCTGGTGTTATTTCCTGGAAATAATTTTAAGCCTAGGATCTTCTATATTTTTAAAGCTATGCTAAACTTATAATTTTATTTGTTTATGCATCTGTTGCTGCTAAGCTAGATATTTAGGTACTACTTTGTTGCTGGAGCTTTAGTTGTTGCCTGAGAAGTTTCTTCTTTATTGCGCCTTCAATTATGAAAAGCTTTATGACGAAATCTACATCAAATTGTATTAAAGTAACTGGATTTGGATTTGTTGAGCCTACTATGGACAGAGCAGTAAAATGCAAGTAGAATTGTAGGTGAATGGATTCAGTAAAGCGTAATAAGAGTGTTAATAAAACCTCTTGGAAATAATTAACTTTTACAGTGAAGTAGAAATTGGCATTAAATTGCATAATATTTTGGCATCAGTATTTCTTAGTCAATTGCATTAATTTAAAACCACTGTTCATCTTAAAATTTCGTGTTTTAGTTGTTTTAATATAACAGTTCCTAAGCTTGTGTTTGAAGCTACAGGAGGACATTATTTCTGACCTGTACAACAGGAAGAAGAAAGTGTAGTGATGGCACATTCAGTTCTCAGGTTTTTTGTGGACCGGTGAAGGCTGGACACCACTTTACATGTTTTACAGTCCTGTAAGTGTATTGTAATTCTTTGTTTCTAGTAATGGGTGATCAGCTGTGCTACTTGCAAAGCTTATCAATACCCAGTACTTGCTGAATCAGTTTTCCAGTCCTCTGCTGGGTGCTAATTTAAAAGGAGATCAGGGTGCTATTTGTTTATAAATAATTGATTTATACCCTGCATGGTAGATCCAGATGTGGATCAGTCTTAAAGATGGAAGCTTTCATGATTTCTATCAGCTCTTGAGGAGATAGCTCTCTGAGGAACTGCCCAGCTCTGCTCTTGAAATAAGATGCTGCCTCTCTCAAACATGGAATTGGCTTAGAAATTCTGAGGAAAAGTATTATTATTCTTTGTGAAGAGGGTAAAAGGTCTTACACTTACTAGGTCTTTTTGTAATGAGTGTGCCTGTTGATTTAACTGGCTTGATTACTGAAGATTTTTGTGTCCTCCTTACACAAATGCATCTGTGTCTAATTATGACCATCTGGTTTACCAAATGGCAGATTTCTTTGATCTGTCATCTTGCATAATTTTCCATTGTTTCTGTCTGCTTTAATTAATCTATTATATGTTAAATAAATAGAACACATTTGCAATTATTCATTTTTAATAGAATCATGTGGAATTATAATGCTTAAAGTAAAAGGTCCGAATGACATTGGCCCATTATCTCCCACTTCTAATTCCTCTAACTTGCTCAGAATTAATATTTTATGTACTGTTGGAATTTTTTAATTGCTCTCTCTATGAAATATAATCTACTAAAACAGAAGTAGCTTTCTGAAATTGTGGACATGATACTGGGTTTTATTTTGGTGGTCCTTGACCACATCCTTTTGTGGGTAGTTTAAGGAGACTTTCTTTTGTCATTTATGTTTATTCATTTGCAATTTACAAAGTATTCTTTTAGCTTTCTTTCCAGTGATACATTGAGTGTGCATGGGATGCATGCTGTTACTTCAGTGCAGTTGGAATTGGCAAGGCTGTTTCAATGTTCCTTTTCTGGCTTTGGGCATTGATTGCAGTAAACATTTTATTGTTTAACAATAAGGGGGTTAACAGACCAATTTTAGTACAGTCTTTCTTACTTATGGTTGGTTTCAAAATGACATCACATTTATTTAGTGTTATTAGATCTTCATTCTTGTGGTCCATGCACATATAGAACTGATCTAAGTGAACATCTAATGCTGTCAGCATCAGATAAATTTTTACTAATTAGTATGAGCTAAATCTTTACAGTCTAAGCAACTGCAAAAAAAAAACCTGTTCACAGACACGGTAACAATAGCTTGGATTTTTCAAACACAGATACATTTGATTTCCTTTAGAATACTGTAACACAGCTTGAGCAGATAGAGGCAGAATAACTTTCTCGATCTTGAACACAATAAATCTTTTCACTCTTAATGTTCTCAAAAGCAACTAGGAAAGACTTATTTAGCTTAATGTACATCAAATTGTGAGCTGTACTTAATTACTAATGAGGTGTGAAGAGCTTCCCCTCTCAGGAGTTTCTCTACTGTGATGAGGTGTGAAGAGACAATAATTGATTGTGAGTGAAGTGTGGATTATTTTATTTTGAGTGTACTGATTTAGATTCAGCCTCTTGAAGAGTGTGTGAAGAAGTAGTTGGAAACTTCTTTAGGGTTCTGTGTCAAACTGGTGTTTATTAAATGGGATTCTGCAAGGCTTCATTCTGTATCTGCTCATGTTCAGTGTTCCTGTTAATCCTGATGAAGGACTAAAATATACAGTGTTAAGATTTACAGTGCTAAACTGGAAGGGTAGGTAGGAGGGTGGAGCACAGAACACAGTCTCAACAAAGGGGAGAAACAGCCTGCAGTAAGGTGTAATTTAAGGTCAAATATAACTACATTTCTGTAGGGAAAGTCTGCAGAGGTTTGTTA